AAGATATATGAGACCTGACAAATGCCAGCAGACACTCAACCCTTAGAAGTCCAACAGATCAATTACACCAGTTGACTGAAAGCATAGTTTTGATAAAGAACCTTTTCCACAAGGGTTTCCATGCAGGTGACCAGTTTCTAAAAGACGGCAAGAAAAAAAAAAAAAGGAAGGTTGAGGACACTGAGAGGGAGGAAGGGGGAGAACGGTGCTTTCACCTGTTCAGGCTCCAAACTTTGAAGGACCCAGTCAATGAGGTACATATGGGAGCAGACACTGGAGCACTAGAGCATCAAGAACAAGATGGCACAAGGCAGGGCAGCAAGCACTGGCTGTCCAAGTCCTCTACCGTGACAATCACTAAGTACCCCAAACTGAGGTTAACAAATATTCAAAAACAGAATAGAGGCATATACCATGGATAAAACTGATCTAATCAACTCTCTCAGTTCAAGGGATTTTTCTCTCTACTTCAGATTCCGGAGCAAGGGATCCATATGCCTGAGTCTGGCACTGCTTCAGACAGAAAACTGAGGGACCCAACACTTACATCAATAATTCCATTGCTACATTTGCGTTCCAAGGTGAGCGGCCAACCTAATCCTTAGCTACAGACTATACTCCAAGTTCATTTTTTAAATGCCAAGGGAAATGACAAATAGTTGATCCCATCTGCTGACATCATGGCCATCCAGCCGGTCATATCTAGATGGTGACCGATTATATTCAGCCCACGCCAGCCCTGGCTTGCCACCTCTCCCACTTCCCCTTTCCTATCAGCCGTTCTGCTTCCTCCTCCTCGGCATTTCAACCTGTTCCAGAGGTCGATTTGGAAGACACAGAGCACTGAGTTTTCCTGTGACTTCAGAGATCTCACAGAAAAGTTGAAGCCTTCTTGTCTCAGGTCAACAAATACGCGCACGATGTGCCAGGCGTTATCCTAAGACCTAGGGGAAAGGTCTCTCTTTACCAGGCAAGGAGGAAGGTAGTTCACTTCTCTTAAACTTGGGAGACTAAGCGCTCCGGGGAACACTTGCCCTGGTTGAGAGGAAAGACAGAAATCGTTCAAAGCGCACTCCCCGATGAGCTCCCACCACCAGCTCCCCTGCCCACCTCTGGTCCTGAGCCCTGGGAACTGGTTTGTACCCACTGAGGCTCTCCCAACCCTGGAGAGAGCAGGGAGCTCACGTCCACTTCGTGATGGGCACAAGATGGAGCAGTAAGCTTCTCCTTTTTTTGTCAGTCAACCCTTGACATTGAATGAGATTCCTCTTCTCTCTGAATTCGGAGAGGACTCTCCTGAGAAACTGACTTCCAATTACACTATGACTCCATCTGCTAGAAGACTAACCCTAATATTCATTAAAAACTAGTATCAGGGCAAGCAGAGAAACAGCTAATAAAGTATTTCAAATTACTATATATCTACCATCCAACAAATCCACATAGACTCAAAGTTATACTCGCATGGTTAAATCAACAAGAAAAGACTTACTGTGAAATTCTTAATTCAGAGATTTATCAAGCATAGCATTTCACATGCTACAGTTTCTGGGATTTCCGTTAATTACCTGGGAATCCCAGCAAGAGTACTAAGAGACAACGGTCCTTAGTCTCCTGGTCTCCTTGAAATGAACATAAACATTTTATCATCGTCTCATTTTAAACATGATGCCACCTGTCTATTCTGGCTCTAATTAAATGAGAAAGTAGAAAAATGGAGTATGACTAGAACAAAAGATTACTGGAAAAATGAGTACATAAAAACTTTTCTCTGTTGATTTATTGTAAAGTGACATTTAAATGTTCTTCCATTAAATTAATTACAGATCAAAAAAGGTGCATACACCTCAATTTTGAGAACAGACTGTCCAAAGTAAATGAACATTTACCAGAGGATTCAAGTGGACAGGAGAGAAAGGTCAAATACACTAGTCCGATTACTCCTCTAAAAGTTACAAAGAGACTTTAACAACCACATATAAGGAACCAGGTATGCAGGACGTTTTAGCTCAATGTGATGACTTTTCAGTCTCTCTTCTCCTGACCCTAGACCTGTGAATTACCTCGAGCAACAACAAAGGTATAAAAATGATAACTCAACTTTAATTTAGAACAACTGAAATGTGAGGAGGTAAACTTAGAAACCAGAATGCTCTCAGGTACAAGCCAGAACTGCTCCAGGAGGCGGAAGCAGGCGATGGTTAAGAATCTGTTATGGGTGGAGACGCACTGCCGGGGTTTGAATCGTGGCCATCACTTACTAGCTGGAAACTCTGAGCAAATTCTGTAACCATTCCAAGCGCACAAAGTGGTGGTTGTAAAGACTACATAAGACTATCTATGGGCAGTGTCTCCGTGCCCAGCACCAGGAAGAGAACTCGAATGCCCACTGTTACTGTGGGGGGGACAACACTGGGTGCTACAGGCACTAAGGACAGCACCTGCTCATCCCAGGGAGCCAGGTAAAAGGTCATTTTCAAATTAATAATTGTGGCAATCAAGAGTTTCTACTTAGCTAAAACACATGGTACCAAAATTTACATTTTCCTTGGTATTTAATTCATCTCACAGAAATGTAACAGTAAAGGATAAAGTGGGGCAAACAAGCTGGCAAAAAACATCAATGATGGGCCATCTGGTTCGAAGAATTCTCTTGTGTGCATGTGTTTTTAATTGCAGTGTTTGTTGTTTTTTCCCCTAAGCCCTCAAACTATTTTTTAAAGAAGAATATTTCTCTTTAAGGTTGCAGCCAGCACACAGAGAAGCGCAGCTACTCGCTCCTCTCTCCCTGGGCACACACTGTCCACCACTGGCAACCCCTCTGCTCGCTGTTCAGCTCCTTGAGAGCAAAGGCCTTGAAGGCACTGGTTCTAGAATAAGCGCACACTCCTCAGCACCTCTTTGCAGTCCGTGTTGAGGAGGGAATGTGTGCGCCGCCCCCATGATCCTCATCGCTCACTTGCCGCTGACCAGCTGCCAGGTCACTAGCTGTTCTGAGGAGCCCTCTCCCTTTAAACACAGATGTGCTCACCAGGTAAACTCACCTGCCTGCTTAGCGTGGTACCTGTGATCACCCAAGAGGATAGACCAAAGACTGCGTGTGGGGGTCAGAAGCATCTGCTTCATATGTAAAGTTAGTCGTCCTAGAATGGCTTTGGAATAATGGAATCCATGATATTGAGAAACACATACCTTTTAATTAGCAGAACCGTCTAGGTGGGAAGTGGGGGATCCTGTACAAGTTTGTATGTGACTCGGTTTCACAAAATAGGGATAAAAATAACAACTACCTCAGAGTATAAGGTAATGATGATAATAATAATAGCAGCTAACCTTTGAGGGCTTACTATAGGCCATACATGGCTCTAGCCCTTTATATATAATAAATAAAGACACAAGCAGCACTCAAAAATACTAGCCATTATCATTATTTCTAAACTTTTTGTTTAGCCTTAGATTCTTTTCCCCAAGCAAAATCTTACCCAGAACAGCATACAAAACAGGAAAAAAAAAAAAAAAGAAAAGAAAAAAGCAGAGCTGCTCCATGTATAGCTGGACTCAGGGGATCTGGCTGATGGGTCCCCCATTCCACACTGGGCATTCCTGTCCCCCCAGGCCAGCCCCCAGAGACTTGTGGTTCCTGAGAACACCATTGAAAACTCGCAGTCTTCTCTCTCCCCTCCTTCGTTTAGCAGAAATCCACTAAACAAATGGAGATGGATGGTGGTGAAGCCACGGCAGAGCCCGAACCAGTCAGTCAATGACTCTGAGGCTGGCCAGAGGCAAGAGGAGCCAGGAGTGTGGGATACACATCCTCTCCTCAAATGCCAGACTGCCAAAGGTGTGCTGAGAATTCCGAGCTCATCCCACACTGGGTGCAGGTGTCCCCTGCTTCCTCCCCCGTCCTCTCCAGGCTTCAGGTCATTGCACCAACGACCTTCAGTGCCTCTTCCTTGTCCAATACTCTGATTCTGACAGTGTCTTTCCCATAATAATATGCACAGATGTTTAGTTCATGATTCTCAATATCCAAACACTTAAACATAGTAAAAATGGCTCCCAACACCTCTTCCCCATCCCATTCAGTGGATTTTCTTCTGCTGTTATCCGTTTGTTTTTTTTATGGTCAAGTGTTACCTGTTATCACTTGCTGTTATCTCAAAAGTGAATCTTGGTCTCTCTCTTACCAAAAGAGTTAGGGGTGGGTAGAAAACCTATCCCCATCCTAGTTTTGGCAACTGATTTAAATTTTTTTTTTTCCAGACACGACCAGTAAAGAAGGGAAACTATGCTCCTAAGTCCTCAGAGGTTATGTTTTGGAGAAAAATGTTTTCCATAACCTGATCTTTGAATCACATTCTTCCACTGCCGCACACCAACTGCAGTCCCCACAGGCTGGGGAGGAGGAAAGAATTCTCTCTGGGCTCACAGTGCTGGCACACCTTAAACTTGGTGCAGTGGAAGGAAAAATTCCTGGCGATTATGTTAAGCCCAGAGTAGGCACCTTCCCGTCTCCCAAAACAGCTTTTTCCAGCTGTGCCCCTATCTCCGTCTCCAACTTTGCTTTCTCTGCCAAAATAAGGCAGGGAGAAGGGAAGCCAATCACATAATAAAAAGTTCAAAAGAATACACCCATAGGAAATATTTGGCTAATTCAATAATAATCCAAGATGCAGAAAGATTGAAAAATGAGTTCACTCTTCAAACTTCTGAGAATGGAAGGTAGTCAATCACAGAATTGGGGCCTTATGGATCAACTAGCCCAACGCCCTTATTTTATAGATGAGGACGTGGAAGCACAGAGTGGTTGTCGCTTCTAGGCACACAGTCCTGGGCAGAATGACGTCTACAACTCATGTCCTGACTCCTGGAACAGTTTCCACTACACCCAACAGTGAAACACCCAACAGCTTGCTGTGGGAATGAAAAGCTCCTGCTAGCACCACAAACAGCTATAAGCGGTCCCAGCACCTGCCAACTTCCCATAAACGCTGCAGTACCTGGAGCCGAAACTCTGTGAAGAGGCATGCTCCCCAAATTCACCGGCGGGCTCACACGTCTGGGGTGGCCACCAACAAATACAGAAACAGGAATGTGCTCCAAACTGAGAAGCAGCCATGCTCATCCTTCTTGGAGCTGGGAACCGAGGGCACAGCAGAAGGTCTAGGAAGGAAAATAACCTTCCCGTCCACGCTGAGGAGGAGACGCCGAAACACAGGTGCCCCCTCCCACCTGACTTCAGCGACGGGCCTTGCGCGCGCCACCTGTGCCATACTGTACTGCTGCTCTTGTCCCTGGTGATACTTTTGGTTAAAAAGCTAGTATTCTCTGTTGTTCAGCGAGTCTCGATTGCCGCGAAGGTGTGGGCCACATCCTCTGCCAGCAAAGCGCGAAACCCGTCAACTTCCCTCCGACAACAATCGAGTTCTCAGAGGGGACGCCGAGAAGGGGACACTGCCGGCCCTCGGCGCAGGGCCCGACCCCACCCGCTGCGAGGCCCCCCGGCCCACCCCAGCCCGCTGGACGACCTTTCTCCTTCCAGGAACCTGCCTCCCTGGGGGCCTTGGGGGTTCGCGCGCCGCCTCGAGCCGAACGGCTCTGCCCGCGAGGGCGTGGTTCCATGGTGAGAGGCGCCCCTGGCCTCGACGGCTGCGCCAACCCTGCAGGGGGCGTGGGGGGTGCAGCCCGTCGCCTCCTCGCCCTGCTCAGGGGCGCCCCGCCTCCCGGGACGCGGACCTCGCACCCCAAAGCCCGGGCCGCGCCGCCGGCCGGCGGAAGGAGCGCGTCCAGGCTGCCCGCGGCCCCGCCTGCCCATCCGCGCGCCCCCGCCCCGCCCCGCCCGCGGCCCACCTGTGGCGGGGGCGCCAGGCCGCTCCCGCTCCCGCGCCCGCGGGGGGCTCCTCGGCGCCGCCATGCCGGCCGCGCGCTGCGGACTGGCGCGGAGCCTCCGCCCGCCGGCGCCCGGGCTCGCTTCACCGCGGCGGGCGAGCGCGGGAGGCGCAGGAGGCGCGGGGCGAGGTCGACCGGCCGCGCTCCCGCCCCGGGCGCCCGGGGGCCGAGTGACGCGCTGGGCCGCCAATGGGAGGCCGCGGCGGGGCCGGGCGGGGCCGGGGGTGGGGATGGGCGGGGCCTCCGGGAGCCGTCGGGATCGCCCGCCCGGGTCTGCGCGGGGGCGCGGGAGGATGCTGGGGCCGTCCAGGCGTGGCTTCTCGGGAATCATCCTGGGAGTTCCGCATGGACGGATCCCACGATCTCCCTGGCACTTTACATGAGTGGGAAGCAAAGAGACCTGGCAGGTGGGATATGGGGGAGAGGGACTGGTGCCTTTTTCCTCTCCATGGAGAGATTACAAGATTCCCATCCCCGACCCACACGTTAAACTGCTGGTCGGTCGCGGCCAAGGGATGGCGAGAGTGGAATCCAGATGTAGCTGTGGGGCCAAGGTCTGTTCCACCAGACTGGGCAAATTTTGTGATCTTTATTTCCCCCTGGGTCAGCAGAAAGGGGTTATGCTTACTTGGAACTAACAGTTTACTTCAGGCATGAGAATATGTGCATTATTGAAAAAATTAATCCTCTGATAAAGTGGTTTATCAAAACAAAAAATATGGGAGAAGCTAAAGGGAAAAATAAACAGCCCAGCCATAAAATGGTGCTCACAACAAGGTTCTTTTGCCCGTGATTTCCTAGTCAGATGGACCCTTTTTTCAGAAGAAAAAGGAAAAAAGTAAAACTTCTGGTGAACACTTCCTCTTTTTCCAATATGCGCAGTTCCAGAGACAGACAGACGTGCATGTGACGGGTTTTGAACTTTTTGAAACAGAAATTCCGTAACTAAAAACGATCTGGAAAACATCCTGGAATTTTAGGTGGCTCCAGTATACTTAGGGCAATGTCTACAAGTAATTAAATCACTTTGCCCCGTTTCGAGTCTCACGGCAAAGAATGAGAAGATCTAGTAAAATTCCGTGGTGAGTCCAGTAAAATTCTGAGTCAGAGCAACAGCAATGAAGATAACGCCCGGCATTTACGGACAGCTCACATCTGGCCAGGCACTTTGGAAACCCTTTTATGTATTATTTTACGTATTATTTTGCTTAATCCTCACACTTGCCCATAAGGTAGGTACTGTTGTTATTTCCAGTTTACAGATGAGGAAACTTGCGTTCAGTAAATGTTGGTGCAGAGTTTGAACCCAGGTCTGATCTCTCAGCCACGCCACCATTCTGCAGCCCATGATTCACAGAAGGTAATAAAAATGTTCCAAACTCTGCCGCGTGTTTAGAAAAACATCTCTGTTATCCAAATCAGATTTTAACACAAGAGGAGTCGTTTCCTATAGCCATAAACCATGACTTGCGTGTATAGAGCCGTGTTACTCATACAAAAGAAATGACTTTAAATTGCTGCGCCTAATTAAACCTAAACAAGGTTACGAGCAGTGATGAGTACAAACTGTCTATTCTAGAAGCTGAAAATACCAGGACTAATTTCTTGTGGTATAATAAAAGAAAATTTACTCAAGTCCTTTAACCACAATACAAATTAGCTAGTAACCTTCTTCTCCTCTCACAAGATAATATTTATGAACATGGTTATTTGGACTCAGCCTAAAATCCTTTCAATTTAATTCATGTTCAGGATTTTGTGGTTTGCTCTAATGTTCATTGTTACTCCAAAGCTGAGTGGGAGGCCTCTTGGTGTGGTACTGACTTTGGAGCCAGACTGCCTGGCTTGGCTATGTAGGGGAGGAAGACATTTCCTCTTCCCAAATGTGGGTTCGTCTGGCCAGAGAACGAATTAAATTCACATGAGACAGAATAGCAAGAGAAAATTAAACAAAGCTTTATGAGGAACCATGGCTCAGGGCCTTTCTTCCCGAAGGAAGAAAGGGCACCGTAGAAGTGGGGTGCACATAGTGGTTATATACCCCCAAATATGGTGTTTCACATGTGATTGAAATGTCCCTCCCACAATAGTCACAAGATTGCCCCGTCAGCACAGTGCTTGATGGACACAGCAGGTAATGGTCTGCTGTCTCAGAGGGCGTAGCAGGAGGCAAGTCAATTGTCTGGAGCTGGGCAGTCACAGGTGAGCGCAGCAATCAGTTCCTAGCCTAAGGAAAGATGCTTAATCCTTAAAGAAATGCCAACGTTGGGAGGGTGAGAGAAGTCAGTTACAGGAGGTTACCAGAGAAGCACAATAAAATGCAGATTTAAGTCCTTGCCTTTGGTATTGATTAAGTTTTTTTAGAGAGAAGGTCATCTCCTTTCTTCTTCCTGGTACAGAGAGGGAGGCACCTTTACAGATAGAGATTTACCTTACAAATGTAAATGTGTCCTAACAAAGGGCAAGTTCCATTCCTCAGAGCCTCCTTCCCTGTCCCAGTTTATCAAAAGCAATCAGCCTCAAATAATCCTGATGCCAAAGAGACATATCTTGGGGTGGCCAACCTCAGGTCCCCACAGCTACATACTAACCACGTGATCTTACACAATTATTTAACCTTTTTGTGCCTCAGTTCCTCATCTATAAAATGGAGCTCATCTGAGTATCTTCCCCATGGAGTTATTATGAGGATAAAGTGATTAAATATGTGCAAAACCCTTAGAGTAATGCTTGGCATATAATAAACACCATGAACATCAGTCAAATAGGAGATGTGACTACACAGAGATTTCTGATTGGCTTTCTGGTCTACCCAGGTGTGCTTTGCTACGTGTCTTAATAGCAATTACAAGGTTATTGATTTTTTTTTTTTTTAAATAAGTAGAATGTGAGCTTTCTGAGTGCAAGGACTCTGGTCTAGAATCCCTAGTGTCTAAATCAGAGCTTGAATATTTGTGAATGGGTGAACAGAGTATAGTATAAGGCCGGCTAAAGGCTGTGCTCAACAAAGACTTCTGCAGCAATTGTCTCTGCTGAAATGTTGACATAAATCATGGTACTCTCCAAAATATTGACCTCAGAACAAGGGGAAACAAAGGCAGTGCCTAGCATTGTGCCTAGAAGCCACTTGATTGTGATGCTGGGGAGTTCAGAATGAGTGGCCAGGGGCAACGGCTACTCAAGTTAGTCACAGGGAGGATCCTGATATGGCCCAAATTAGAAGAAGGAAGGAAGAAAGGAAGGACGGCAGGAAGGAAAGAAGAGGGAGGGAAGGAAGGGAGGGAGAGAGAGAGAAAGAGAGGGAGGGAGAGAGAGACAGACAGATAGAGAGAGGGAGGGAGGGAGAGACAGAGACAGAGACAGAGACAGAGAGAAAGGAAGGAGGGAGGGAGGGAAGGAAGAAAAAGAAAGCTGGTCAATAACTCCTAGCAAATATTTTCTTAGATTTTTTATTTTCACAAAATTTCCGTGACCATTTGAACTCTGAAAATGGAATGTGAACATCCAGAACCACTGAAGACATTGCAAAATGTATTTTCCACTGCTATGGGAAATGTTTTGTTTTACTCAAGGGTCACTCATTCATATCCGGGTCAGCCTCGGGCTAGGACAAGTCGACTTCCTCCTGAGAGCAGTGAGCCCGATTACACCTTTGGGCAATGAATGCAATCTTCATTTCTACTGACAGTTTCCTTTGTTGACTGACCTCCAGTTAAACATCCTCCTCTAACAGGAAGGTTGCAAAGGGGGCTGCTGGTCAGTTGCTGTAATTCCTGTACCAGGAATGGTGCCTGGCACATGGAAGGCAATTATTCAGTATTCATTGAAAGAAAATATCAGTGAATGTGTGAGTAAAGGCAATGATTGGACTTACTACTAAGAATTAGTGAAATTCTTCCACCTGTACTTCTTTCCAACTATTCTTGTCCAAATTCATTGTCTTTTTGTATGTGTGTGTTAAAATATACATAATATAAAATTTACCATTTTAACCCCTTTTTTTTTTTAAGATTTTACTTTTCCTTTTTCTCCCAAAGACCCCCTGTACATAGTCATGTATTTTTAGTTGTGGGTCCTTCTAGTTGTGGCATGTGGGATGCCACCTCAGCATGGCCCAATGAGCGGTGCCATGTCCATGCCCAGGATTTGAACCGGCGAAACTCTGGGTCATCGAACTTAACCATCAGCCACGGGGCGGGCCCCTTAACCGCTTTTAAGTGTACAGTTGAGTGGCATTAAGTACATTCACATTATTATGCAACTATTGCCAACCATCCATCTCCACAACTTTTTTCATCTTGCCAAACTGAAACTCTCTACTCGTTAAACCACACTCCCCATTCCTCCCCTTCCCTCCCCCACAATCCCTAGCAACCGTCATTCTGCTTTCTGTCTTTGACTACTTTCTGAATTTTACTGTTCTAGGTACTTCATGTAAGTGGAATCATACGGTATTTGGCCTGTTGTGACTAGCTTATTTGATTTAGCGTAATGTCTTCAAGATTCATCCATGTTGTAGCACGTCAGAGTCTCCTTCCTTTTTAAGACCGAATAATATTCCACTGTG